GATATGTCATGCAGAAGATTGATTCAAGTTACATCTGAGGGGAGTTTTCTTTGCTCTTGGATTTCAGTGTCTATTTCCTTCCCCAGATTGAGGAAGTTCTCTGCTATAATTTGTTCAAGGACTCCTTCAGCGCCTTTCCCTCTCTCTTCCTCTTCTGGAATTCCTATCGTATGGATATTGTTCCATTTGATTGTATCACTGAGCTCTCAAACTCTCCTTTCGTGTTCCTGTATCAGTTTATCTCTTTTTCTCAGCTTCCAGTCTTTCTATAATTGTGTTTTCTAAATCACTTATTCTCCTTTCTGCCTCTTCAATCCGTGCATTGGATGCCTCCATTTTATTTTGCATCTCATTTATAGCATTTCTTAATTCATCACAACTATTTTTAAGCTCCATAGTCTTTGTAGCAGTAGTTTCTCTGATGTCTTCCATGCCTTTTTCAAGCCCAGCGATTAATTTTATGACTGTTGTTCTACATTCTTCTTTAAGTTGCTTATATCTGTTTTGAGCAGTTCTTCAGCTGTCATTTCTTCCTGGAATTTCTTTGGAGGAGAGTTCTTCAATATAGTCATTTTGGTTAGATTTCAATCACTTGTTAATTTTAAAAGCTTGTTATGCACTCTGCCCCTGCAGGTGCTGCTGTATTAAGGAGGGCTCTTTGTCCAGGACCAATTCAGGAAGTGTTCTTTTAATGGTGTCTCTTGGTTTCTCTTGTTGAGACTTTGGTTATTTTGTTTCCCTACTCGTAGTGGTATTTGGGACTCTCCACCATGTGTACTTTGGCTTGTTTCTTGAGGTAGCCCTGGAAAAGAAAACAGACAACCACACAGGGAACAAAGGTACACAAATGCACAGACAAATCCAACAAACACACAAACTGAAAAAGAAAAAGAAAAAAAGGAAGGGACCAAAAAAAAAAAAAAAAGAAAGAAAAGAAAAAAAGAGGAAGGAGGGAAGACAAATAATAAAAATTAAAATTAAAAAAAAAAAATTAAGCGGGGCACCTGGGTGGCTTAGTCGGTTAAGCGTCCGACTTTCGCTTAGGTCATGATCTCACGGTTCGTGGGTTCAAGCCCCGCGTCGGGCTCTGTGCTGGCTGCCAGCTCAGAGCCTGGAGCCTGTTTCGGTCTGTGACTCCCTCTCTCTCTGACCCTCCCCTGCTCATGCTGTCTCTCTCTCTCCTAGAAATAAATAAAACATAAAAAAAAAAAATTAAGAGAAAAAGAAAAAAACGAAAAGACAAAGGACAGCCTAAAGGCATAAAATCAGAATTCCCAGCCAAATAAAGAGCCAGGTGTATGCAGTGCTGATGGAAGAGCATATACAAAGAGAGAAATGACAAGGTGGGGAAGAAGCAAAATAGGAAATGAAATGACCAGGCAGAGAGACTAAGAGGCTTGATTCAGAGGAAGAAATCATAGAATATGTTTAGAGGCAAGGAGAAAGAAATGAAGGTAATGTTACTCAGAAACTAGTCTGATTACTCCAGAGAGAGAGAGAAAAAGGGAGCGGTGGAGGTGTAGAATGTACATCTAGAGAATGGATTAAATGTGACTGTTTTAGCAAACCAGTGACCAGAGTGCCCAGACCAGCAGAGTGGATGGTTACGAATGAGAAAAGGGAGAATATATCTGAATAGAAAGAATTATTTAGGGTTAATCATGGCAGTGCATCCATTTTTGTCTTGCCCTGGGCTCTGGTGAGAAAGAAAAAAAAGAAAACAGGTCTCTAGCAGGGATGGGCGTGGTTTGGTGTAGGCTGGTCTCACCTCCACTGTGTCCAGCTGGCTGCTCCCTGAGGCCCTGCCTTGGTGGTTGTGGGGAGAAAAATGGCAGCACCCCAGTCCCTTCTGGAACCAAGTGTTGCAAATCACTCCTTTGCATCCGATCTCCCTGTGCTGGGGTCGTAGCCAAGGTGGGCTGAGTTCTATGCCCCACACCCCGCCTCGTTTCCAGGTCCCAGTCCACGTGCTTTATTGATACTGCCTGAAACACAATCCAGCAGGTCGCTGCTTCCCTGCTGCCGAGGGTCGAGGGGTGGGGGGTGGGGGGCGGGTAGCGGCACAGCCTGGGATCACAGCCTGGGATCTGCAGCCTCAGGCCCGCAGCATCCTCACCACTGGGGATGATGCTGGGAGTGCAGCAGAGTAGTTTTTCCTGGCACCCTCTGGGCCCCTGGGCACCTAGTTCAGAGTCAGCACCCCAAGTAGAACTAAAAACACTCTCCTTCCAAGCTGAGGTTTTTCTCTTCTCCAGGGACAGTTCTATGAGCAGTTTCAGCTGCTCTTTCTTTTCCTCTGGACTCACTGCGGCTGCCCGGAGCAGGGCTCCCTCCTCTCCCTCCATGTTTCTGGTCCTGGCCCCTTTTATCTTCCCCAGTTCTCACTCATGCAGTTATGAGGGTGCATTCCCAGTGTACTCTGTCTCTTTCTCTTCCCAAACTCCTGTGACTCAGTGTCCTATGACTTCAGGCCTTGTCTGTTTGAGAGATGGGTGCAAGCGAAATGCACGGAGCTCCCTACTCCACCATCTCGCCTCTACTCTCTTGGTGTTTTTTGTCAAGTTTTTGCTCCTATTTCACAAACTGATTTTAGTATATTGCTGATACCTCAGTTCTCTTTTCTTTTGATTTTTAGCTTTGTATTTCCTGCCTTGGAGTCACCCAATCCATTGACAGATTATACCAGTGCCATCCTCAGCATACCTGTAGACTATCTTAGTATAGCATTTGCTAGTGAGGTTTGTATCAGAAAAATTTAAGAAAATTCGGTGCAGGAAGAGTCCCAAGTTGCACTCCACATAGAAATGGTAGAACAGGGGCGCCTGGGTGGCTTAGTCGGTTAAGCGTCCGACTTTCGCTTAGGTCATGATCTCGCAGTTCGTGGGTTCGATCCCCGCGTCGGGCTGTGTGCTGACTGCCAGCTCAGAGCCTGGAGCCTGTTTCAGATTCTGTGCCTCCCTCTCTCTCTGACCCTCCCCTGCTCACGCTGTTTCTGTCTTCTAGAAATAAATAAAAACATAAAAAAAAAAAATTTTTTAAAAAATGGTAGAACAGGGGCAACTGGGTGGCTCAGTCGGTTAAGCAACCGACTTTGGCTCAGGTCATGATCTCACCTTTCGTGGGTTCAAGCCCCGTGTCAGGCTCTGTGCTGACAGCCAGCTCAGAGCCTAGAGCCTGTTTCAGATTGTGTCTCCCTTTCTCTCTGACCCTCCTCTGCTCATGCTCTCTCTCTCTCTCTCTCAGAAATAAATAAAACATTAAAAAAAAAATTTTAATCCTTTTTTAGTTTAAAAAATGTTTCCCAAATATATATATATATATTAGAATATATGTATATAATGTTACATATTTACTTTCCAAGGAAGATATTTAAATATATGCATATAAGCTCATATATATACTTAAATATATATCTTAATGTGTATATACATAGAATATGATGTTGGATTTATTGTTGTGTTTTTACATAAAAGAGCTTTGTTATATATCACACAGTTGAGCTTTTTGTTTATATCTGTGAATTCTTTTCAGGTAATTTACAGTATCATTTAAACTTAACTAAAGTTTGAAGGCTTTGCTTCTCCAAAATTGCAATTCACAGATGTTCCTTCATGGTATCATTGATGTTTGCAAATAATCAATTACAAGTTCATCTCAACACAGTTTGAATATCTGTATGTAAAAACATTGGAGAATATGAGCTCAGAGTGTTACAATTACTTTGAAAACTGTTGCTTTCTTCAATTTTAAAACTTTATAGCCATTCATTTTAAATTGATTTATTTTTCATTTCTGCTCTAATGAATTCAAGAAAAATGACAGGTCAAATAAGCAGCATCCTGGGTGCTGTGATTGGTTGGCATTTGTATAGGTCTTTCATAAAGGATTTAATAAAAGGTGACCTGAAATTCAGAAATTCAGAAATGTAATCTATAAGACAATAAGAGAAAAACAGTTCTTTTAAGCACCCTGTCAGTACTGTATGATTCCTGCTCTGTAACTGTAATAATTTTATGTATCTGTCAAAAGATGTAAGCTATATTCAGTAATGAGGATTGCAGAAATTTGAGACTTCATGTACATTTCTTGTTGTCACAGGAAGGTCAGCCTTTTGAAAAGGTATAGAAATGAACATTTCTCCAGAATTATATTTCCCTTCATTTTAGGCTATCTCTTAATTCCAGCATTTTTACTGTGTTTGATAAACAGGCCAAATATACATTTTATTTATTTGGCAGGGGAGGTGATGAAACTTTACAAATTTCAACTAGCATTGCATTTGGCTGATAAGAATGGGAGTTGGTACCGCTCTGAAGAGATTACATGAAGTCGAATTGGAAAGCAAATTGTATTTACAAAAGATAGGATGATGTTCCTAATAGGTGTTCAGAATAGACTGTTCACTCTCATATTCTGCTGAGCTTTACTAGAAATAACTTCATTTCAAAAAAAGAACAAATCTGATTGAAGGTAAAAGCATTCCCTCTCCACAGACACTCGTCCAAAGGACTTACATTAAATTTTCCTGATGGGCACACAGCTGTATTTTGGGCTGTATCTGTATAAACTGGTAATGTGGAAAATAAAAATCTAAATAGTATACCTGATTGCTTCATGCACCAATCATTTAGATTACTAGATTTATATCTATAATTGTGGGAGAGAAGTTGCAATATGATGTTCTGACAATAACTGTCAAAGTCACAATCCTAGGATCTGTTTTCATCTCGTTGTCAAGGTAAAGTTATTGAAATTCACAGTTGGTAGGTCAGAAAGATCACTTACTATCCCTTGTCATCTGTAGCTTAATGCTGACCTAAGCGGCTAGTGTATAACGTCAAAATTATCACAGTGCCCAGGCTGCAGAAGTACAACATGCTACATGATTTAATGCATTTCCTGTCTGGAATAACGATTATGAAAAGGCCAACAGCCATGAGCTACAGTGGTTTACAGAGACTTAGTTTCTAACTTTGCTTTCTCTTTTTCCAATTCATTTTAGATTTTGGATTTAGTAAAAGGGACACATTACCAAGTAGCCTGTCAGAAGTACTTCGAGATGACACATAATGTAAGTACATTTTTAAACTTTATCGCCTAATCCTTTGTTTTGTTGTTATTCTGTGTTTTATTCAGGGTTTTTAGTTGCAGCTCCAGCTATTTTCACCAGAAAGGGATTTATCACATGGTATTAGGTACCTTATAAAATTGATAGATAGGTCAGAGAATTAAATTAGGAATCTACAGACCCAGAAATACCGTAACAAAGAGAAGCTACACAATGAGAAAACCTTACTGTACTTCAGCTGCCACCCACCCCTTCATGTCTAGGGCTGAGACCAAGGGTCAGTAACTTTTTCAGGAAAGTGCCAGATTGTAAAAATTTTAGACTTTCTTGTCCATGTGGTCTCTGTCAAAAACTGCTCATCTCTGCCGTTGTAGTCCAGAGTAGCCATAGACAATATATAAATGAAGGAGATGGCTGTATTCCAATAGAACTTTATTTACCAAAACAGACAGTGGGCCAGATTTGACCAATGGCCTTAGTTAGCCTAATCTTGGAGTAGCTGTGGAACAGTTGCCCTCAGGTGCCTAGAAAAACCAGAGGCTTTTGCCGTCTTTCCTGTAGAAAATCTGACTCTTTTACTTCTGGCTGCCACCTCGTGTTACCCTTAGTTCCCATATCTCATATTTACCTGCATGGCTGAACTTCATTACACGTAGGACCCATGACTTCAGGGGACTCAGGGAAACGTGTTTGGTTTTTCCCTCGTCAGCCTCTTTTCCCATGCTGCTCTAGTACAGGCATACATTGCGGACATGGGTTCGGTTCCAGACCACCATGATAAAATGAACCGAATGCATTTTTTGGTTCCCCAGTATAGATGCCACTTATGTTTCCATTATTCTGTAGTCCATTAAGTATGTAATAGCATTATGTCTAAAAAATGTACATACCCTAATTAAAAAGTACAGCTAAAAAATACTATAATCTGAGCTTTCAGCAAGTCATAATTTTTTCAGGGGTGGAGGTTCCTCCCTCCGTGTTGATGGCTGCTGATGTTCAGGGTGGTAGTTGCTGAAGGCTGGAGTGGCTGTGGCTGGTTTTAAAAATAAGATAACAGAGAAGTTTGCCGTATCAACTTGACTTTTTTTCATGAATGCTTTCTCTGGCATGCAGTGCTGTTTGATAGCATTTTGCCCACAGTAGAGTATCTTTCAAAATTGGAGTCTGTCTTTCCAAACCCTGCTGCTGCTTCCTCAGCTAGATTTATGTCATGTTCTAAATCTTTGGTTGTCCTTTCAACAATCTTTCCAACATCTTCACCAGGAGTACATTCCATATCATGAAACAACTTTCTGTGCTCATCCACAAAAAGGCTCTTTTGTCTACATTGAAAATCTGGTGGTTTAGTGTAGTCCCTTCATTTATTATCTTAGCTACATCTTCTGGATAGCCTGCTGCACGTTCTGTATTAACACTTGCTGCTTCGCCTTGCATTTTGATGTTACACTTTGCTGCTTTCCTTAAGCTTCATGAACCAACCTTTGCTAGCTTCACACTTTTCCTCGGTAGCTTCCTCACCGCTCTCAACTTTCATGAGATTGAAGAGAATTAGGGCCTGGCTCTGGATTAGCTTTGGCTTAAGGGAATCTTGTGGCTGGTGTGTCTTCTGTCCAAACCACAAAAACTTTCTCCATATCAGCAATAGGGCTGTTTTGCAGTCTAATAATTTGTGTGTTCACTGGGTTGGTACTTTTAATTTCCTTCAAGAACTTTTCCTTAGCTAACTGGCACAAGAAGCCTAGCTTTTGGCCTATCTCAGCTTTCAACATGCCTTCCTCAGTAGGCTCTAAGAGATATGAGACTCTTCCTTTCACTTGAATGCTGAAAGGCCATTATAGGGTTCTTAATTGATCTACTTGCAGTATTGCTGTGTCTCAGAGAATAGGTATGCTGGAGGAAAGAGAGACAGACAGGAGAATGGTCAGTTAGTGGAGGAATCAGGTACAGCATTTATCAATATAAGTTTCGCATCTTATAAGGGCGTGGTTTCTGATGCCCCAACACAATTAAAATAATAATGTCAAAGATTACCATAATAACAATAATAATAACAAAGTTTGAAATATTGTAAGAATGACCAAAATGTGACAGAGAGACATGAAGTGAGCAAATGCCATTGGGAAAATGTTGCCAATAGACTTCTTCAATTGCAGGGTTGTCACAAATCTTCAATTTGTAGAAAACACCATTACCTGGGAAATGCAATAAAACAAAATATGCCTGTATAAGAAGACCTAGTAGGTTCTGAAAGGTGTAAAGCAAGAGTCACAACTAAGAGGTCTACAGAGGTCAGGCAAATAACCCAAAAAAAATAAAGGTGGGGGCACCAGCGTGACTCAGTCATTTAGATATCCAACTCTTGGTTTCAGCTCAGGTCATGATCTCACAGTCATAAAATCAGGCCCTGCATCAGGCTCTGTGCTTAGTATAGAGCCTGCTTAAGATTCTATCTCCCTCTCCCACACTCTCTTTAAAAAAAAAAAAAAAAAAAGTTGAGGGTGGCTGAGATTAATACGAGAGAGTATGGGAGGCACCATGGTGTGCTGATGAATTCACATCCTGTTAGGGGCATTCACATGGACACGTTTAAAGACCTGTATACAGGTCATTAGAACACATTAGAGCAGGTGAAATTCTGCTCACTGACCCCCTGTTTGCAACTACTTGTCCTGATTATGGCTTCCTAACCTAAGACAGACATCCAAGAATGGACTTGAAAATCCATGCACCTGAGACATTTTTTTCTGTGAGTGTATGTGTGCATTTTGGGGGAGTCTGTTATTTATCAGCTTTCAAAGGGATTCATCCATGATCCTCCCACAAAAGATGTTGCATTCTTTGAATTCATCATCAACTACCATGCCATGCTGTTTTATAATCATTTTAATTTTTTCTATTTAGTCTTTATGCAATAGTTTTTCTATTGTGGTTACATAATAGCAGAATCTCTTACAGTATAAAATATTTCATAGGAAAAGTATATCCTTTAATATTACCAATAATGAATACAGTACTATTAACCAACATCTATTAAATTCTTCACACATACAGCACTAAGCACTTTGACCAGATTAGCTCTTTTGATCCATACTACAGTATTACAGTGAGGTACTATTCTTACTCCCATTTATGAGTAAAGTTTAGAGAAGCTGAGCGACCTGTGCAAGGTCATACTGCTTATAAGAGATGGACTTGGATTTAAATTTGACTCTCAAGTAAGTCATTAAAGCTTATGAGCCTAGCCATGACTGTGTACTTCTATGGAATCTGATACTGTATCTGTAATAATGACTATGAGGTCACTAGCATTTTCTTGTCTAGATTCATGAGTCAACCATCATAGTTTGTAACAAAAACAAAACCAAAAAAAAAAACCACCCTGAAAACCAGCAGTTCTACATGACTTTCCTGTGAGTCTTCTCTTCTATTACACCTGACTATTGAAAATATAACTATTACTTAAAGCCATAAAGACTTTGTTTTCACAAAATTTTTTTAATGTTTATTTATTTTGGGGGCAGAGAGAGAGGGAGACACAGAATCCAAACCAGCCTCCAGGCTTTGAGCTGTCAGCACAGAGCCTGACGTGGGGCTCAAACCCACGAACCGTGAGATCATGACCTGAGCCAGAGTCAGACGCTCAACTGACTGAGCCACCCAGGCACCCCTGTTTTCACAAAATGTAAAGGACTAAATAAACATCACTAAAATAGTATACAAGCACAAATTCTCATTAGTTTTAGCAACATAGGAATCTCACCAGATAAGCCACATGCATTTGATATTTTCACCAGCAGCTTTGAATTAACCTTTTCCTTAAAGACCACATTCCTTAATTTGCCTACTCAGCTTGAGAGTTTTAATTTCAGACATGTTCTTAATTATTTGTGGACTCTTTTGAATAAGATGCCTCAGAACTTCCACAAATTAAGGTCTATTATTCAACCTCTTTCCTTTTTTTAAAATAAGATGTGAAAATTAGATTTAAACATTGAGTTTGTGACATAATCACAAAAAAATGAGAAGAAATTTTTAGTTCCCAGATCTGTTTTTGTAGTATCTACTGAGTATTCTATTCCTGTAGGAATATTACTGCTATGGGCAATTTTAAAACTTGCCTTAGAGTAGTGAAGATATTGAAAAGATGTATGTCTAAATCCTCCCGCATATAGTTTAAGCCACATAAAAATCAATGGAATAAAAAGGCTGTTTGAATTCACTAGATGTCTCATTATAGATTTTTAGTTGTCAATATCTATTATTTTTTCTCATTAAATTAAAACTAGAATCCATTTTTATTGTCAGTTTTCTGCCATGCTGCCTGCCGCCCTTAACAAAATTTTTAAAGCTATGTTTATTTTCCTGAGGACTCTGCAATCAAACTCATTTTAACGAAAGTTTTGAAAATGAACCAGTTAATTGGTACCATTTACAGCCACACTATGATGGTTCCATATGGCTTTTTTGGTAATACCAGCTGCCTCATTATAAGCTGTCATTGCAAAATTTCTTGATTAAAACCCAAACATCCCATAGGTAAAACAATATTGCTTCCATTCCTTCATTTGCTGTGGCAGAAATATGAGACCTGTGTTTGTGTGAAGGTCATTGTGTGCAGAACATGTTGATTCCAAGCAAATGTTTGAGAGAGATTCCATTAGTAGATGTCAAAATCTGGGCTGCTTGAAATCTGTTTTCCTCAGTGTTTTTAGGGAGCAGTGTTTATCCTGTGGTCTGTTTTTTTCTTTTGGTATGCTCCATGTGTAAATGAAAACATTAGGCCTTGTGTGGATTAATCTCCGAATTGTAATTGAAAATCATTTCTTTAGCAAACTGAGTCATTCTTGATGCTTATTTTCCAAATATCTGAGCATAATTTTTTCCCACCATATAAATCTTTGCAGAAATCTTATTAAATTCTATCACATTTGCCTGCAATCTTAAACAGGATACACCAAATACAATTAAGGTCTTTTGTAATAACTCAGGATCATTATTATGGA